CTATGTTTTAATACATTTCGAAACTTTTTAAAATAGGAGTTTAAATAAGAGACAGATGTCCCCTGCACAAACAATAACAACTGAATGAACGTCAGAGAAATGAATAAAAACACTAGTGCAAAGCAAACAAACGTCAAACGCGCTAGGCAACCGAACAAACAGATGGTCGAAAATGCAGACAGACGCTCGCCGCCCAAGGAGCAAGATGCAGTTTAAGCAACAACGGCAACAACGCCAAAGACACAACGTCGATTAAATAACGACTTTATATTCAACCTACGAATTTCGCGAGAATTTAGATTCATTATATTCAATTTGTCCATCACTGTCAGAAACATCCCAAACAGCTAGAATATGCAAGACAGCGTCAGAATTCGAAAAGAAATTTAAAAAATTGGCCGTCGTAGTTCACGTTCTCTCGAATATTCAGAATGTGACTATTTCACGCTGCAAACGAAAGCCCGGCCGAACAAGAAGACGGCTGAGAGTCCAGAAAAGATCTCTGCTGCGAAACGTCTTTTGAAAATCAAAACACAGTAAAATGACTTTTCAACACATTTCCCGCCATTTCGTCCCAGGTAGTTTCGAGAAAGTCGCTTGGGCTGTCCACGCATCGTGCGAGTAACATACTCGGAAGAACTGGGTACCATGTCTAAAAATAACTTAAGAGGGATTACCTTGGGTATAAGGCCTTTATGGGGGATTCATTCTCTTACGTTGATGATCTCTTGCTTTCACCGATGTTCATTTTTATAATCTTTATCATATTTATTAGAGTTACAACTATGCTCAAGTGTCAGGAGAATCACTTATAGGTAAGTAAATGATATATATACAGACTGAAAGTCAATATTGCATCAGTCTACAGAGTTGAGCCGAAAGCGATAGCTTGGCTATCAAGCTCTAATGCACAGAGAAAATTTTAAAAAAGGCAAGTCGCATATTAGGACTGATTCTAACGTGAAATCTTTAAAACCAATCACCAATGCCGAATATTCACAATTCCAGAAACACTATCTCAGTTGTGATTTGATTAAGGGCTATGCCCTTACCAAGAAGTGGATTATGATTTATTTTCAGGGGGCAAATACAGAGGACACTGGAAATTAGATGGTTCTGATCCAGATATAAGGTGAGTTTATTATGCTAATTTATAATTCCAGGACGCCTGGTGACATGATGCAATGTAGTACATTACGTCTTTAGAGAGGATCCATCATTGGTCTTGGTGATTATTAGGACACTGGTCGCCTTTTCTTGGCGGCTTATTTGGCTGCTCTGTTTATTCAGAACAGTTATTTGACCAGACGTAGACAAACGCATAGGCATAAAATGGCTTGTTCACAAGTAGCGAGTTAATGTACTTTCAGCTAGAATGCAATGTGCAAAATGCGCAAAAACGGCTTAAAAATGACAAACGGTTTGAAAATGACAGACATTTGTGACACAAAAAGTCAAAAAGTGGACCAAATGGCTAACTGAGTTTACAGATTTTCAAAATTTCCGGGGGAGGGTGGCCCGGACCCCTTACGAGGATGAGCATCTGGCTCGTCCCCCCACCCCCCTGCCCCCCTCACTTACAAACTCCTTCGTGCCTGATAAAATAATTTGCTGCGATATTGACCCTTCGTGCTCAATAATTATACGTGCCTCGAAACCGTTGGTGTGTTGCCGGGACCTCCATCTTGAGTGTTGTAGCTTAGAGCTCTAAAGGTGATTTTGTTAATCTGCTGATGGCATTGGATTGAGCAAATACATTACACAGTTCACTGATATAGGACCATTTAGAACAAATCCAAACTAAACCAACCTACTGGAAGTCATAGATAGCTACAAACGTTTTACAAAGAGCCCTCGCTCAAACTCTTCTTTCCCTCTGCGGTCCTTTTCTTTCACCAAACCTTTTTTCCTCCGCCTGTCAGTATGGACTGCCTGGGCACTAGGTTAAGGAGATCTGGGCACCAGATATCTTACAGACAACCTGAGGGAGATTTGGGGATGAGACTTAGTGATTGATAACCTTCGTGCTAGTTTTATCTTCCGTCAATCTGGGAAAGGAAGGCCTGATTACAGATTTAACACAAGAAAGCACTCATTATTGCTTGTGTGTTTTTGTTTTTTGCAGATACAATGCTTCTGTAAAATTTACAGAGGGCCGGTGTCCTGGCAGCAAGGCGATGGTTTTCGACAAAGTGATGTCACGTCTTATGGCACCAGGTGTTACGGTACCCAACGTAAACATCGGGGACTGTGATTACACAATTGCGTTTTGGATAAGATCATATCGGTATGCTGAGATATTTGGCTCGTCAAGAAGTGGGAAACGTCTTGCTTTATATATACGTGGAATGTATGCATACTTCCATGAGGAAGACATCCTGATTGATACGAGATATACGAGATATTTTTTTCGACCTCGATATGTTTTTATGAATAATTGGACTCATATTGCATTAACTTGTGCGCCATATAACGGGGTCAAAATGTTCTTCAATGGTGAACTAGCGAAATTTTTCATTACATCTACCTTTTTCGGAGCCAAAACACTTCCTAAAGAGACGTTCGTTATTGACTACTCTCATAGTCCAGGGATAATGGATTTTCTCATCCTTGGATTCGCTTTGCCTCGAGAGGAGATTTATGATTTATTCAGAGGTTAGCAATTTGTTTATTTTATGAAAAGATTGAATACCTTATTCCATGAAATCAGTTTTCACGTGCAAAGGACTCACATTATGTGAATAATCAAGAAAAAGTGAATTAATTACCACTGAAATGTTTAAAAAAATCATATGTTTCACTATTCTAAGGCAATGTCTTGGTCCCCCTCGTCATAACTGCTTTCTGTCAACACTTCAGGCAGCACTGACTTCCTTTGTACAATCCTCAAACTGTCCATTTACTGGCTCCTTGTAATGCTGTTCCACTAGCAGCGTAAACCTTTCAATGGCTTTCATGAACTGCTTGTGGACATGCATTGTGAGAACTGCTTTGCTGTTGCTGTTATATATAGTCCCGCCGTATAGACATACAGTCGTGACAGTTTCGCCCTGACATATAGTCCCGCAGTTGCGTTTTTGTCAATTTTGGCGTTATTGCATCTTTGATAAAGTCGGTTTACTAAATTCAAGGACATGTTAAAGTAACGTTGCCAAAGAAATAAATTGTGTGTTACTCAAAAACACGAAGTCAAAATACAAAGCTTTTACAAAGTGATTCAAAATACAACGTTTTCACAAAAGCACGGAATTTAAGTACGGTGTCGCGAAATGAGCGCACCTCAGAATCGCGAAATAAACGTGTCGCGAAAATTTCGCGTAATAAGATAGTCGCATAAGCGCTAAGAAGGTGTGGGAATAAGTGATTGATAAAGAAAAGAAGCAAGAAGAGGAGGAAGAAAAGAAGGAAAGAACTAACCAGAGAGAAAGAAAGAGCAAGATAAAAGAATAAAGATAGTGTGTGGGCAGGCTCCCAGCGAGGGCGAAAAAAATCGGAGGGCGAAGTGAGCTGACAAGCGCGAAAAACACTTGGCGAGAGAAGTGAGCTGAGCGTCGTTTTTAACTCGGACAATGACCCAGTCATTAATCCGAGATGTAGGCATGGATGCAACATGGCACTCCTTCCTTCCTTCCTTCCTTCCGTGCTTCCGTGCTTCCGTCCTTGCCTCCATTGCCTGATTTCAAGCCGAAAAGGACTAGGTACGAGTCTGTAAATTATGGGATAAGCAACTATTGATCCACATAGTCAGAAAGAGCACACCGAGATTCACAAAATCCCCGAGTTTGGTGTTAATCAGGCTAGTTTTGACTGATATACAGCCATTTAAAAACGTCAAAATTAACAAAGAAATGTTTGGTCATCCGGACACAGCGTCCGGATGACCATACATTTCTTTGTAAATTTTGACGTTTTCAAATGGCTGTATTTTGCTTAGTATTGGGTCTATTTACACCAAACTTGGGGATTTTGTAAAGCTTGGTCTGCACTTTATGACTATGTGGATCAATAGTTTCTAATCCCATAATTTAAAGACTCGTACCTAGTCCTTTTCGGCTTGAAATCAGGCTATTTCTGTTAACTTTTTCTACATCCACTGACCAGTATATAGAGCGTTGGCAGTCGCTTGCACCCAAGTCGGAAAAGATTTATTCACCAAGTGATTTGTTTCTGTGGCAGTGCTTCTTATTCGTGGATCGTTTCTGCACGGTCGACAGCGTATGTTTTTTAGCTTGAAGTTCTCACTGTTAAACCAATTCAATGTTGTGCAATGGAAGTAGTACTGTACCTGTATGACTGACCTGAACGTAACACCAGGACACAAGTCGCATTTAAGCTTATATACGATTGTAAGGGAAAGACTTCAAAGTTCATCCTCCTCGATTCGATTGTAGGGGAAATTTTTCATCGTTTTTCCTTCGCAATCCTATCTGACACTAGTGATAACTTGGGGCTCGAATAAGGCTAGCAAATTTGGAGTTCGAAATCGATCGATGTGCTGGACGACTCGAATGATTAAAAGCTCCAGATGATTTTTCATCGGAAAGCAAACGCTGTGTTTTGGTAGATATTTTTCTTATAACATTTTTTTGAGCATCGGAAAGGCAAACACTGTGTTTCGGTGAATGTTTTTTTGATATATATTTATATATAAACATATCCGTTAATTAGAAAAAAAGGAAACAAGACAATAAATGTTGTGCCTTGTAGGCTTTGACTTCTTAACCTCTCGAGTTTCGAGCGACCATCTACTCTACTGCGCCACATCCACATCTAAAGAAAATGGGGGAAACACATTCACTATACTGGTTTCTACAGAAACGCTGGGTTGTCAGAACAGCAGGCTTAAGTAAAAAGCGTCGCGCGAAAATCGTACGAGTCGATCGATGGCTGGTTCCAGCTTGTCCTTCAAATAAGTCGTTGCTGAGCTCGTTAAAGTGGAGGTGAATTTTTGCTTTTTTTTTGGAAATGTGTCCCATTGGTGCATTCGAAGATCTGTTTAGATGTTTGACAATGGCGTCATTCGTCACGAACTCAGTGGAGCTGGAATAGCAGGAGACTGTACAACTCGCTGAAATATCTAACGACTACGTTTGGACATAACCTATAAATGGACTCGCGTTATTTAATTATTACAAAACTCCATTCTCAGCCTTTCGATCATAAATCATTATCCGAGCTCAGAAACTCACAGCCACTTTTATTTTCTCGTCTTATAACCCAATCGGGAGCCTACATTTCACAAGCTAAATAAAGATAGCCCAACCGACTGACCGACTGACCGACTTACCGATTTTAACTTGCACCAACACTAGATGCCTGTGAATTGTTACAAATTAGAAATAACGCTCTACGTATTCCCTTCAGCTCATCTGAGAGGTAAAAACTCATATATACTCCATAACCGCTTTGTAATTGTAGTGAATTACTGAAGTCACGGTTTCAATAAACGCCTTTCCATTATTGTAGATTTCCGGTTATTGACAAACCAAGCAAAGGAAGTGAAGGGACGCACAGTTACCGTCAGGTGGGAGCAGCAAGGATCGTGTTCTGCTGTCAATTACACTGTTTATTACAGAGAAGTGAAGCCAGGAAATAATGCATGCGTATGGAAGGTAGTTAATGTGTCGCGATTTGCAGACCACTATAACCTTGAATTGGAATGCTTCAAGGAATATGACGTAGCAGTTACTGGATGGGGAGCCAGAACACTCAAACCATGGAGAGTCAAAACTGGACAAGGTAAGAAGGGATGATATTGACAATGAAGTATTCAAACAGTTCAAGCAGGAGTGGAAAGAGAAACTTACCTGAGCTTATTGAAGCTTTGGTTTTCCGGCTTGTCGAAATACTTGTTGTAAAAAAACTGAATCCAAGTCAAATATAATACAACAGGAGACGAACTGGAAAAGAGAAGTTATGTGGACCATAGCTAAAAACGTTTCAAGAAACAAATTATGTCTGCTCTTTTCTTTAAAAATGCTCGTAATTATAGAAGAAAAACCTATCTATTTAAGGTGGCTGGCAATAGTTTCCAGTGTTGCACACAAACTTTAATCACGCGAAAACAACTACAAAACTACGTTAACAAAACGTTTCTCCTCGACTGTCGCTTCTTACTATCTTGTTTTTCCTCGTGGGATCCTTTTACTTAATCCCATAATAATCACTTGGGCTAGTTCCAGTTACTCTCGTCTTTCTAGTTAGTCCCAGTTACTCTCGTCCTGCTTGCTAGACACTCCCCTCCGCGAAAAAAATGTCGTCCCGACATTACAGAAGGTATACAAAAATAAAATACGACAAGTCATTCTGGTCATAACTTGAGGGAGTGTTAGTGTCCCGATTTCAAACTGCATACAGCTCCATCATCCGTAGTGTTTGTTGAGTTTCCGTCTTACAGATAATAGAAAAACTGGTAAGAATTCAACACAGTTCTGCTCGCCTATGGTTAATACGCGGAGCGGTGAGATGCGACTATAACAGTGTTCAGTGCTGGTGTATCCATACGGTTGTGTGATATACTGCAACTGCGGAATACACGGGATGTGTGAGGTGTAGTAAGGTGTAAGGCAATTGCCGATGACCTTGTAGGGAAATATAACTGGAGGTCCTTGAATTGAAGTTACTACTGGCTGTAAACGTTGATACTCAGGCTCTCCCATTTGACTATAGGTCAAAGTCACTGGAGGCCGTCTCTCCCTTCGGGGTCGCGTAGCTGCTCCTGGGTGGTCCTCTGAATCTGATGTGTCACTTACTGCGTGGTCGACGTCAGGTGAATCTTGGTCACCTGAATTTAGTGCTGGTGGGCCTCTGGTATCTGCGTGGGGGTCAGGTTGCTCGCTGAAGTGGGTATCTGACCCATCGGTATAGCCTTCACTATTGGATTGATCTTGTGAATGCAAAACCGGGATGTTTAATATTACTTCCTCGGGGGGGGGGGGCATGTCGTGGGGGGCTGGGTGGCACGGTGTGTTCACTCGGTATTCATCATCAGAACTCTCCCCAGTGTCTTCAGGTTGAGGTGTCAATTGAGATTTCAATTGCGTGCTTCTGGGCAACTTTCGCGGGCAATTTGGAAGAGGTAGAGCATCACACGGAAGAAGCAAGTTACGGTGCAGTACTCGCTGTTTTCCACGGTTATGTTCCGGCTTTACTCTATAGACTGGACTATCAGATATGTGTTCATCAACTATGTATGTCTGCTCTTCCCAGTATGAACGAAGCTTTCTGGGTCCTCCTCCGACCGCAGCCGAAGCCTTTTTGTCATAATACGCTCTACTTCTGGCTGATGATTTCATAGTATTCCTTGAGGCAATGTCATAGGCCTGTTTCATACCCGCTTGCCATGTCCTCACATAGTCCTGGTAGTCACCTTGTTGAGGGCTATTATCCAGATCGAACAGCAAATCGATCGGTAATCGCGGGGAACGGCCAAACATCAAATAAAAGGGAGAAAATCCAGTGGTTTCATGTCTTTTGCAGTTGTAAGCATGGATGAGCTTGTTTAAGGAGTCTTTCCAGTTCGCTTTCTTTTCCTCTGGGAGGGTCCTTAGCATCGAGAGTAAGGTGCAGTTCATGCGTTCAACCTGACCGTTACCCTGGGGATGGTATGGAGTGGTTCGCGAACTAGAAACTCCACTGAGACGTTCGAGGTTGTGGAACAATTTGTTGTCGAACTCACCACCTTGGTCATGATGTATTCGGGCTGGGCAACCGAACCTCGGAATAAACTCATTGTAGATCTTCTCAGCAGCCGTACGGGCCGTCTTGTTACGTGTTGCATAGGCTTGAGCATATTTGGTAAAGGTATCAACAATCAGTAGCACGTATTCATATCCGCCTTTGCTCTTGTCCAAATGAAGGAAATCTATGGAAATCACTTCAAACGGTGCTGAGGTCATCAGGTGCTGCATTGGCGCTTTCGTGGGTGTGTTTGGTTTCTTTTGTTTGATACATCTGCATTGTTGTGTCACAAAATACTCTATGTCACGGTGCATATGCGGCCAGCAGAAGTAGGACCTCGTCAGTTCTGCAACTCTCTCCACACCTAGGTGTCCCATTTCGGTGTGCAGTTCATTGAGTACCAATGGAATAAAGGTGTGTAGCAGGACTAACTGGATTTTAGAAATTGTTCTTCGTCTCAAGATACCCTGTTCATCAACTTCCAGTTTCTTCTATTCTCTCATAAGGTTGGCAACGCCTTGGGGTGCATTCTTCAACTGGCCTCTACCCGGTTTGATACCATGTGTTTTGTAGTAGGTTGCATGACGTATTGCATTATCCGAGTGCTGTGCTTCTTTGATCTCCCTAAGGCTAAAGGGTTTCAGATTCAGATCCTTTAATGTGGTTTCATGGGTCGTCGTGTCAGCGCAAATAGCAGTTGTCCATGGGATGGTACCCCTTGCCTGTTCCCTAACTGCTTCCAGGGTTGCTTCAAGGACATCTTTGGGAACTTCTTCGGTGCACTCTCGCGCATATTGATCGATTTCTAATGGCATTCTTGACAGAATGTCTGCATCAACACTGGATTTGTCCGGCCGATACTTGATTTTGAAGTTGTAATCTTCTAACTCAGCTACCCACCGGTGTCCCGTGGCATTCAGCTTTGCGGATGACATCACATATGTTAGTGGGTTATTGTCAGTGAAGACGACAAAAGACGGGGCATAGAAAAGGTAACCTCTGAATTTGTCAGTGATCGCCCACTTGAAGGCCAAGAATTCTAATTTCCCGGAGTGCAAGTGGTAGTTGCGTTCCGCAGGAGTCAATGTCCTTGAACCCTATCCGACAACTCTCAGTTTGCTTTCTTGTTCCTGGTAGAGCACTGCCCCAAGTCCTTCACCTAAAGCATCTGTGTGTAGTACAAACGGTTGTTCAAAATCAGGATAAGCCATTACCCCCGGCTGCATTTAACGGTCAATTAGGAAGTTTAACCGCTCTTGGTGTTTTTCATTCCAAGCAATTTTGTAATTTGACGACAGTTGTACTTTCGAAGGTGGGGACTTAAACTTTGGGTTTTCTTGCGGTCTCTTGGCTTTGTGGGACTGGCTGCTGCAGCCTTTGGCTGACAATAAATAATAAAGGGGTGTGGCTAGTCTGGAGAAGTCCCGAATATAATTACGATAGTAGCTGATGAAACCTAGGAGTTTACGCAGTGCGCCAATGGTTTGCGGTTTAGTTTCTTTAAGGGCTGCTACTGCTGCAACATCAGCAGGGTCCATCGTGTAACCATCCGCCGAGACTATTTTACCTAAGTAACGAACGCGGGGCTTGAACAATTCGCATTTCTTTGGCTTCAGCTTTATGCCATGCTCCTGCAGACGTCTAAGCACTTTTCTCAGGTTGTGTACATGTTCACAGAATGTCCCTCTATACAGGAGGATATCATCGAGATGAGGGATGCATATTTCATCACGTAGACCATCCAGGCATTTCTCCACGTACCTCTGGTAGGCTGCTGGTGCATTTTTAAGACCAAATGGAATGCGGTTCCACCGTTATAAACCCCAAGGGGTAATGAAAGCTGTCAGGTGTCAATGCTCTTCTGCTACAAATCCCTGGTGACACGCCTTCCCCTGGTCTAACACCGAGAAGTAAGTATTTCTGCTAAGACTATTCAAGATGTCTTGGATGCGTGGGATAGGATGGCGGTCATCTTGGGTTTTGCTGTTCAGTTGTCTATAGTCAACACATAATCTAAGACTGCCATCTTTCTTACGCACGCATACCACTGGAGATGAGTATGGTGACTTCGAGTTGCTTATCCAGCCACGGTCGATCATATCCTGCAGGTGTGATTTCACCTCACCGTATAAGGGATTTGGAATTAAGTTGTATGTTTTTTTTGACTGGGTAATTATCCACTAGATTGATTTCCAATTCCAAGTCTTCAACGCATCCAGTGTCATCATCATCCATAGCAAAGGCTCCAGACTCTTCTCTTCCCTGACAACCTCCTGTTGACCACACGACAAATGACTCAAATCTACTGGGGGAGTCCACTGCATGTTACCTTACTCAGGCTTACTGGGTTCTGCCTCATAATTGACCGGCTCATTCCTAGCCCCTTCACCTTCCACCAAGCTTTCCTCAGTCTCAACTGGTAATGGCGTAACGGATTGCACTAACTGTATAGTGCCAAGTTCTGTTCGCTTTCGTAGAGTCATCTCTTGTTCAGTGTTGTTGGATACTTGGACATATATATGACTCGAAGAACCTGCTTTAATCCGATGTAGACAGCCCTTGACTTCCAACCCACCAGACCATGCCCCTTCCTCTTTGGGTTCAAACACAACAGGCAAATCTTCCTCCAGTGGCCCAAAATGTACTTGGCACTTGACTTCTACAGTCCCCCCTGCTGCAATATGTATGTCTCGCTTGCCAGCTCTGAGTACTGCAGTATCAGGTTCACTGTCCAGGGATTGGATGAGGTTAACCAGCATTCTTGCTTCCCTTCCTTTCAGAGATGGGAGTGAATCATTTACCATTTGGGGTAATACGTCGCTTGCGTTGGAGTCACTACTCCTCTTTATGACCTCTTCAATGACATTGAAACCAATAATGAGATGTTCCTGGTTATCTTGACTTCCTATTAGTATGGGTACTGTTAATGGCTCTGAGGACCCATCCTCCCCAGTCAACCGGAACTCGAAACTATGCATTTACTTCCAACCAATTTAGTGAGTTTTGAGGGTTGTCTTGGAGTTAGGTGTGATGGGAATGACGTTTTCAGTGCCTCGCTGCCTGTCATGGGCTCCCTTTCCCTCCGTTCAACCTCACTAATGGCCTGGCATAGTTTCCTATGTTCATTCCAATGTTCCCTCTGACGAAACTTGAATAGTAATAACTGGTATGGTATTGTGAGCAGCGCAAGTATTGATGTACCCAGTTCTCCCCCTTTCCACAGTTTACAGATTGTTGGGACTGTATGTGGGTCTGAGGGGTTGCTCCCTGTCCCGTGGGGGCAACCCTAGCCTGTTTCCCGGGAAGTTTGCTGAATTGAAGCTCCCCCGACTCGGCCTCAGGCATTGGTATCTAAAGTGACCAACACCACCACAATTGAAACAATGGTTACAACGAGCACCTCTCCCTTGTCTTTCACAATTCCAGCACCCCCTAGGAGGTACCCTTCCTTGCTCCACAGGGTTGTACTGTAGGTGGGGGCTTGTACTACTTCGTTTTTCTATACCCTTCTGGATAGCTGCCAGTTCTGCTTTCAACTCCCTAACTTCAGTAAGCAGGTTGACTTTTGGTGGCTTCTCTGGGGTTTTGTCCTCAACGGGTGTACGATTTTCATTAGGGGTAGTCACTTGAGCTACCAGCTGGGCAGGGTTTCGGCTTGTGGACTGATCATGGCGAAAACTGAGTTCCCGCATTCTTTCTGTTTCATTACTAACTGCTGCATTCAATTTCTCAAAGAGCTCTTCATCTTCTGCTTGGGTGTTTTGCAGACAGGGTTTTATTTTCATTTTAATACTGTCATTTCGTAACCCAGTTAATAATGAATGCAGAAACATGCATTGTACCAGCTTTGGGTCATACTTTAAATCAGATCCTGTCTCTTGCGATGCAAAAAGTACTTTCTGTTTTAAATCAAGGAGGCGAACCAGGAAGTCCTGAAGTGTTTCCCCAGCTTTCTGTACTGCCGAACTGAGCAGCTGATACACTTCCGTAGCCCCTTTCTCCTGATAATGTGACCTGAGTACTTTGCGTAATCTGGCAAGTTCTAAATCGAGCTTACCTTCCAAGTAGCTCCTCAATCTCAGGCCTGGGTTGATTGCTCGGATAACGGCCTCGATAATTTCCTCTTCCTTGTATCCTCGCTTTAAGCCGACGTCAATTTGGTGGGTCAGGCTAGTGAAGCTCAAGCGATCCTTTTGACGCGAATCTCCAATCTGCCCTGATATTTTGAACTCCTTTCTGAACGGTGCGATCGCTGGGCTTTCCATAGGTGTCGGTATTTTCGCACTTGGTTCAACGGCTGGTTTCTTCTCCTCGTGTTCGAGTTTTACTACACCACTCTCTTCCTCGGTCTTCGCGACGACTGGTTTCTTCTCCTCCTTCTCTTTAATTGCCGCTCTGAGATTCTTTAATGCCTCAATTCCAATTTCCTCGGCATCTAAATATTTCGTTACGAGTTGTATCAAAGTCAAGCGCCCCTTATCCGTCTCTTCACTTCGACGTGCAGCCCTGCACATAATTCGCGGAGGCTTGCTTCGCCAAGTCGGCAAATAGCAGTTCTCACATCTATCTGCAACTCTTCGACGTCGTTCGACATTTCGACGGCCTTTTCTGTCACGTCGGGGTCACCAAATGTTGCACACTACTTTAATTACGCGAAAACAACTACTAAACTACGTTAACAAAACGTTTCTCCTCGACTGTCGTTTCTTACTATCTTGTTTTTCCCCGTGGGATCCTTTTACTTAATCCCAAAATAATCACCTGGGCTAGTCCCAGTTACTCTCGTCTTTTTAGTTAGTCCCAGTTACTCTCGTCCTGCTTGCTACACCAGCACTTTCCAGCAGTCATAAGTACTTTGACGCCGGGTCAGTACTAAAACTCTGTATCAACTGATGTTACAATATCAGTATCAGACAAATGCCCAATCATTGGTCGACAGTTGTGGTCATCTTCATGTCATAATAGGTTGCCATGACAACGATACAACCGGTTAAAAACATCCTTAATTTTAACTTTTAGTGCTTGTAATTCAAAAACGGCTCCGTGAATCCATTTATAATAATCGATTTGTGATACGCATGTTAAGATACAAATACAAGAGGCAGCTCAAACTTTAAGGTGGCTCTGAACCCTACCTACAGAATGTTTTTAAACTTTTCAAAAGGTTGTATCTCAACATGCCTATCACAATTCCTTATGCACGTAGTATGTTCTTCTCGTTTTATGTTGAGAAAAAAATTTTTTATTTCACTTTTCATTTAGATTTTCCACAGATCGTAAACTTGAAAGTAGCGGGACGCAATGTAAATATCACGTGGCTGCCTGTATCCAAGGGAGAGTGTTATGACCATTGGTACCTTATCTACCACAGAAAAGTGATTCCTGAAGTAAATAAAGGCCAATGGAATGTAGTTAACGTGTCTCAATATAACGCAACCAACTACAATCTTCAACTCCAATGCTACATGGAATATGAAATAACAGTTACTGCACAAAGTGCAAACGGAGAAACACCTCTTAACCAAAGCAAACCGAGGAAAGTCAAAACTGAGGGAGGTAAATACAACCAGAAGCAGTAGCAGGGAGTACAACTAATGTTATTAGTCTATTTTGTGAAGGACAACTAGGTGACAGCGTAATGAAGTTCTCACAAGAACTAGTTTTGTATACTCCTGTCACCTGGGCATCCTGTATTCGTAAGTCAATAATATTGAAGCCTTGCATTCCATCTTAGCCAATACGAAAATTCATTTTTTCTGAATTATCGATGACCGATAACCACTGATAATCTATTTGTATTGATTATTTTAGGTAACCTGTCTCCTCCCGTGGGTGACAACAAGACAATGGAAATAAACAGTTGCGATCTGAATTACATGTGGAGTCCTCCAATGCACACTGGATGTCCCCTTACGATGTATATAATACACTACAGAGAAATTCATTCAGACGGCAACGAAACTGATTGGCTGCAAATTTCTATCGCTCAGCTTAAAAAAACGTCCTATGTCATACCACTGAAATGCGATGTGGAGTATGAGATCGCAATGTCTGTCAAAGATGGACAAAGAGAGAGTGTCATGTCAAACTTCTGGCGCGTAAAAACCAAGTCCCCTGCGACAGGTATACCTTCCAGCAATTTTTTCTCGGGAGAGCTTTTGTATGTTCCTTCTCCATTGCTCAAATAGAAGTCTTAAATGCCCTTTGATTTACTACTTAACTAACCATAACTATCAATCCTCAAACAAAAAGGCACAATATCCTGTTTTCAAAAGTTATTGGTTATTTGAAACATGTCTGACAGAAAACAAATCTTTCACCCACGAAATAATTATAAGAGTGGGAGGGGAACAGGGGGGCGGGAGTTCGGGAGAATAGGGGGCAGGAGGCGGGAGAGGAAAGGGCGGGAAAAGGCGGAAAGCGGGAGTGGAAAGGGCGGGAAGAGGGAGTTCTAAGAAAGCGGGAATCAATTATTAAGCGCTGAAATACTTTCAACTGAAAACAAGAACCCAAAATGTTCTTTGACTAACATTTAGCTTATTTTGAGACTTCTAGACCGACCGAAAAACGAAAATTCGCTCTTCAGATGAAAAATTGAGGCCTACTTCCGGTAAAATTGGAAAGCCTTTTAAGTTGGTTACGTCATAGGTCATGAATTGCTGTCACTTAAGCTGTCAAAAGACGTCAGTAAGAGGAGGAGGGCTGAAAACAAAGGAAAACGCCTGAGGATTGCGCAGCTAAATGACTGGGATGTGTTTTGAGTCTCCTTATTTAAAGGGAACGGGAGCAAGACGGACGAGGGCGCGAGTCGGTAGATAAAGGTACGGGAAGCGGAAGAGTAGGGGACGGGAAATGAGAGGTTCTGACCCCCGTGTTTCACCCCTCCCACATAAGATGCACACGATCTATTTGTTAAGGTTACTCCAGACAAGGCTTATGTTTTCTTTTTTCTATTTTTCAAATTGTTACCATACTATTGATTGATTCTTACCACACATCATGTCAAAGTGTTTTTCAAGCAGCTTTGTAGGCATGTTGTGCAATGAATTAAGAAATCTGTCTTAAGCCAGGACACTAAGCATGTTTGACTATATGAAGAATTTCTTCACTCAGGCGGACAAACTATTGCTGTGATTGTTGGAGGTCTTGCTCTTGTTGCCATGATACTTGTGGGGATTGGTTGTCACAGGAAGAAGACACGAAAGAGAAAACTAAATGTCCTCCTTGCAAAACGGTATGGGAGTACATTTCATTTCTTTCATTTGACTTTAAAGTATTGTCGAGAAGTGGGAAAGGATTTTCTTGTTTAATAAGAAAATTCTTCAAGAAAGCAGCTTTTTTACGAAAGCAGCTGGTTTACGTGGACTAAGCTTTTACTAGATATTTCAACCCATTTAATTCATATGGTAGTAAATCAAAGTGGACCTGTCGTTGACTCATGGATATGGAAGGTACTTCTAGTCAAACACTGAAATTTGACACCTGATTTTTGATGTTTTGAAGATCGTCTTGTGTGGCCGGCTAGTGAGACGTTCGTTTTAGACAAAAATCAAACACTAATTTATCCCTAGAGAAACAGAACTGAGCACCAGAAAAGAACTGAGTGCATATTGTAAATTTTCTTTACTAACAGCCAATAATTTATTGGAACATCAGCTCAGATGACAGAGTAAAATTTTTTCCGTCGCAGAGTACGCCTGCTCGGCGTTCTGCGTTATGTCTGGAGCAGCGGGCTTATCTATGTTAAATTTTGTTACTCAGGTTAAAGTCCGACATGATTCCCTTACTGCAACGGGAAATTCCACCCGAGCGGATAACGTTCATGGAGGAACTGGGTCGAGGGGCTTTTGGTAANATCTATGTTAAATTTTGTTACTCAGGTTAAAGTCCGACATGATTCCCTTACTGCAACGGGAAATTCCACCCGAGCGGATAACGTTCATGGAGGAACTGGGTCGAGGGGCTTTTGGTAAGGTCCACAGAGGAGCCCTGAAGGAATTACCAACAGTAGAAATATTTGACAAGCCCAGGGATCAAAGAGTGGAAATCAAAGAAGCAAAAGTAGTTGCTATCAAAACTCTACTTGGTGAGCAAAAAGATATATATGATACTGAACTAGCGGCCCGTATTGCTACATAATAAAGAATAAACCTGTACGTTAAACACTCCTCAGTGGTCAAACAAGAGGGAACCATGTGTTGTATGTTTTATTTTCCTGGACAAACTCTGGTCAGACCGATACGTTTTTTGTTTTGTTATGAGCAGATTTTTAGTCAACAGTTTAGTTAAATTTGGTGTAACCATAAAGATTATCTACTGGGCTACACTTATTTCTCGGTTATCTCAAGCAATTAGTTCATTCATTTTTTTTTTGTTTCCATGTTATTCTAGCAACAGCCACCGAAGGAGGTAAGGAGCTTTTCCTGCAAGAAATTGAGTTCATGAAGCAAATTGGCTCTCACCGGAATGTCCTTAGCATGCTCGGCTACTGGGTAAAGTCAGAACCCATCATGTTGATCCTGGAATATGTTCCACATGGCGATCTTCTTCAGTGGCTAAGAGGCAAAAGGCAACAGGTTTGAAAAAATTGGTTGTTTTAGAGAGAGAGATTAAAAACGTTGCTTTTTCAACAAATTAAAGAAAACGAGTGGCGTGCATGATTACTACAAACAAATGCTATGAATTAAATTTTAATGTACAATAAAATTTAATCTAAAATATTGCAAGGATGGTTGTCATTCTCCCAGTAGTGGTCGAAGTCAAGACATTCATAAGGGAATTTCAATAGGAGAATACAAAATGCGGATCATAACAGGCTGATTTTCTTTTTGATTGGTAAGATTGACTTACAAACACAACTTATTTACGAACAGTGTCGGAATCTAATTTATTTGTTTTGTTGTTCACTGCCATTAGAAATAAAACCTGTTTGGTTTTAAAGAATAGTAACACTCCAAGCTGTCATAGTTATCAATGCAGTTGCGGCAAAAAAGGTACGAGTGAGCAGTAGAAACTTAAAATGATCTCATCATGCGTGCCATCTCTCAATTGTAGGTGAAGTTTAAGAACAGTATCGATGGGGACATTTTTGAATATTTCACGCAAGCTACAAGTAAGGGCGAGATGGGCAGCGCCAAAACCTCAGGAGTGTCCACTGAAAATAACATGCCAAGTAGCTTTGTCACGGTGAAAGAGGTAGCGTTGACGAGAAAGACGTTAGTTTTCAAAGCTTCAGGTAAAGACGAAGATGATGAAAAGAAAGAAGAGGAATTTGAGCAGAGCTGCCATGAAGTTGTGGAGGTAATCCTGTCTACAAGAGGAGAACCTGGGACAGTAAGACAAGAACCTGCACTGGTCGGTTCTCATGATGAGAGAGCTGACGACAATTTGGGGCACAGCCATGAAGCTGAAACAAAAACAGGAGAAGAAAAGTGTGAAGATGAAAGAAAGGAAGGGAAAAAGGTGAAAGAGGAGAATGAATGCAAATATCCTGATCACAGTGAGTTTCCGTGCTCCCCCCTGCCAGTAGCTGGGCCATCCGGGATTGACAAAGACCCAGATCACACTTGTGATGTGTCTGGGTTTGAAAGCGGGATGACGCCAATTAGAAAGGAACAGGGGGAGATCAGCATGACCACATCTCAGGACGATGACCACCCTGGAGACGTCGAGCAAGCTGACAACTTTTATTCCAACGATCTTCTTTGTTTTGCCTGGCAAATTGCAAACGGGATGGTAAGTACAGTGAGCGATGAGACTTGATTGAGTAAACATTTTGTAGCCGTCGAACACCTTTTGGAATTCTGATTCGCTGATTGAAAGAATCAGTTGAGATGTCACAAACTACGTTTCTGAAGAAATAAGCTTTGATCTGTTGTTCTTAGCAACCTATCTGAAAAAATCATTTGCCACTCTTGTATCACATATTCATTGTATGTATTAAGGGCGTTTGGCAAATTGTTGAAACAAAGACACTCCTACAGTTTATGTTCCAGATGAAACTGCCAGTCTGAAGTAAAACGTTTTTCTCCTGTTTTTCTTTCTCTGTAATTATCACGATGTCCAATTGCTGACCCTTTATGTTCTTCGATACGCTAGCGTTGGCACGAATACCTGACATAATCCGTATCACACAGATCACACTTAAACTGATAAACAGCGCATTTTATCAGTTTCAACAGCGCTGTTTATTAGTTTAAAGGTGATCTGTGTGATACAGATTATGTCGGCTATTCGTGCCGGCACTTGCACCAGTGTATCGAAGAATACAGATATTATATATATATCATAACAGGATTACTTGGCTAGCAAAGGATTTGTTCACCGTGATCTGGCAGCACGAAACATTCTTCTCGGTGAGGACAGAGTGGTGAAGATTGCCGACTTTGGTCTGCTACGCGACACTCAGGGCAATGTATATGAAATGAAACACACAAAAAAACTGCCAATCAAATGGACAGCTCCTGAGGCATTACACAACGGCATATACACTACCAAGAGTGATGTGTAAGTTAGTCTGAAGCCAACATTATCTACCAAGAGTGTCTTGCGGGCCTTTTGAGTTATACATCATTATCATACATGGCCAAATGCACGGCCACCCAAAATGACTTGAAAAATTCGTGAGAACAATTGCAAGCAATTGCAAAGTAGACATTGGACGTTTGCTTAAAAACGCTAAAACCCTCGTATAGTTCTATTTCGTAAATTCAAAATTGAGAGGAAAATATTTCATTGTTTTCAGAGCCGAGATGGAACAACGTTGACTACGGGTTTCTGCGATTCATACCAACCCTTATAGATAGAAGGAGTGGTGAATGAACAAAATTCTTATGTACCGGTTCATTATTTCATTTCAGATGGTCCTTCGGTGTTCTTCTCTGGGAGTTGACCACAATGGGTGAGAATTAATAATTAGTTAGAAATAACAATCTACTTATCCCAAGCTCATTAGAGAGAAACCGGTGAAGCTCCTCGTAAAACTCACTGAAATTGCTTAACCTCCACCACAACATAAGAAATACTGTATTTCTGTTTCTCGTTGAATACGTTCGTAACATTTGCAGACAAACTGTCTTAAGTTTCGGTCAAACGATCGCAACATTTCAACGCAACATATCGCAACATTAAAGTGAAGAATGATAATCGCAGTAAATTTTCCAATTTAAGCAATTGGAAAGAAGAAGCCTGAAAAAAATCAGGGCTTCAACGGGATTCGAACCCGTG